CATTTCCAAAACCTGGCACAACATCAGACGCTTCTGCGGACTTAACCCTCCGAAAACAATCTTCTGTATCCAAGACCCAATAACAAACCAATAATTAACAGAAAGTCAAAACATAGCAAATGCCTTCGCCCTTCATTGGCAAAACGAATCAGATGATTCGAATTTCCCACCATAATTTTCTACAAATAAATATTCAGCAATAACACAGCCACCCAGCACCACATCAAAAAAAAGCTGAAACTATAGAAAACAAAATAACAATGATCGAACTGTCCAATCTCTCGGGAAAAACTCCTGGAATAGACAGAATTTCATACCAAATGGTCAAAAATTCGTCTATAATATTAAAACAAAGGATTCTAGACTTTAACTTTAACACTTTAACAACATATTTAACAACTACATCCCACAAACCTACAAAACCAGTCTAACTGTCCCAATTTTAAAGTCAAATTCCGACAAAACTTCTATCAACTCATATAGACCAATTTCCCTTAATCCATGTTTAAGTAAGACTCTTGAAAAAATTGTAGCCAGAAGACTATGGTGGTATGTCAACACCAAGAAATTAATTCACCCAAATCAATTAGGTTTTAGGCAAGGGAAAAGCGTTACGGACACCTATTATACTTGTATATAGACCATCAGATAACAAAATCCCTTGCAGCTCGCGCCCACATCTCTATCATATCTTTAGACTTTTCTAAGGCTTTCGATAGAGTAGGCAACCATTCAATCCTTAATCAATTAAGGGAATGGGAAATTTGACTGAAAATATTAAATTTCATAGCAAACTACATGACAAGCATTAAAATAATAACAAAAGTCAATAGCCATGTGTCAAATACATATTCTCTCCAAAACGGAATACCACAGGGTTCACCAATTTCAGTTATTCTATTTCTCATAGCCTACAACAAATTAGCTTACATTATCCAACTTCAAAAAAACATAAGCTTTTGTGCCTTCGCCGACGATTTCCAGTTATTAATTCACCACAATAGAGGCAAAAACCTCTAAACTTAAACGAACTTTTTACCACTATCCAAGAATGGTGCCTCCAATCCGGCGCCAACCTCTCCCAAACAAATGCAAACATGTTCATATAATGTCTCTCTTCAACCCGATTTAATTGCAATACCTCCATCCTACTAAATATTTTAAAAGCATTAATAGGATCCAAAATAGAATATGGCTTAACCTTTTATGGTTACGCCCCAATATCACAAATCAAAAAAATACAATCCTAAATAGTGCTATTAGAATATGCTTAGAAGCATTTAGAACAACACCCATTAACCACCTAATCATCGAGTCCAACATCCCGTACATAACAAGCAGAAGAGACGTCTTACCAGCAAAGATTTAATCTTATCAAAAAACTCTCTTCTTGAAAAAATAATAAAAAAAATCCAATATAAACAAAATAGTAATAATCAATTCAACTATCTCCAAAATGATTAACATTTGCTCACTCCACTCCACATCCTAAAAATACAATCATCCATCAAACCATTCTGGCAATTCAACCAAGAAACTTTCAACATCACCCTTCCCCACCATACAAAAAATTCTACCAATCCAACAATATACTAACAAATATTTTTAGAATTCACCAACAATACCAGTTCATATATACAGATGGATCAAAAACCACACACACAACAGCTTTTGCTATCACAACAGAACAATCACTGCTTAAAATTGGAATCCTACCAACATATTCATCCATATACTCAGCAGAAATAATTTCCATCCTAATAATAATAATTTAAAAGTAACCGATACTTGTAACGCTAGGATAAGGTTAATAAATAAAATAAAAATAAAATAAAAAGCTATTAACCAAATCAAAACAAAAAGGGGAAAGTTTGTGATATGTTCTGACTCCTTGTCTGCACTAAAATCGATCAGAAACTTTGATGTCCACAGCTTCTATGCGGATATAATTAGAAATCTAATTATGCGTTTACCCAACAAAATAAAGCTTATGTAGATACCAAGTCATATCAACATTACAGAACAATACAAATGACATCAACAAATATTATAAAACTCAATATACATCGAACCAACAAAACCACAATCTTTGCTCCATCTGGTATAAGAAAATAAACCCAAACAAGTAAAAAAGCTAAAGTCGGGTGTCCCGACTTTGAAATACTCTGTACATATGTTTACAATAATTATAGAAAATATAAAAATTAAGAAAATAAAAAAAAAAATTTGATCGATTTTACCTCTCTCGGTATTCGAACTCACGTAAAGGGTGTATAATTGCACATTTACATAGCAATTGCGTCTGTGTGAGTGTATGTATGCCTATGCGCATCTATTCGTTTCTGTGTAAGCATTTTCGCAGTCAACCAAACAGCAACATCAACAACAGCCGCGGGCAGCGCTTGAGCAGCGCTGCAGCAGCAAATATATTTATGGCTATAACTTCTCGTTAAATCGGTCTTTCATAGTGAACTTGGCATACGGACACTTAATAACCAACTGGGGGTATTTGCAAAATTTTAGTTCGAAATTCCAAGAATTACGATAGTTACGATTTGCGTGGTAGAGGGGGGAGGGAGGGAAATTCCAAAATATACATTTTCTGCGTATTTACACAAGGCATCTTGGACTAAAATTTGGTGTTCCTAGGTCTTATAGTCTCCGAGATATAGGCGATTATACGAATGGAAAATCGGGAAAACCCCCAGGGGGGAAGTGGGGGGGGGGGAATCAAAAAAATAAAACAAACTCGTATAGCGTACACACATAAGGCATCTTTGTGCAAAATTTGGTGTCTCTAGCTCTTATAGTCTCTGAGATCTAGGTGATCATACGGACGGACGGACAGACGGACAGACAGAGCTAGATCGACTCGTCTCGTCATGCTGATCAAGAATATATTTACTTTGTGGGGTCTGCCACGCCTCCTTCTGCCTGTTACATTTTTCAGCTCGCGCAAACCTAATATACTCTTGTACATTTCATGTACAGAGTATAAAAAGAATAACATCCAAAATATCTTGAAAAATTTACAACACAATGAACTTTCAAGGCTGGACCAAACCAAAATTATCAAAATAAGACTGGGTCACTCAAAACTCACAAACGAACACTACTTGAATAAAACCATCTCCAAATTCTGTCCCCTATGCAAAACGAATAGCCATATGAATATTGAACACTTACTCATTCAATGTCCCACATTAACAGCCGCACGCACAAAATACCTATCTGAAATGACCTCATCCAAATCCTACAGCAGAAAACCTAAAAATAATAATAAACGTCCTAAAAAAACTAAACTATACAGCAAAATTTAAGGCCAATACGTATTAACACCTGTCAATATTATAAATGTAAATAATGTAAATAGTACAATTAGTTAATATATTATAATATTAATTGTAAGTAAAACAAATATAGCCTAAGGCCCTGGTAGCCAGGCTATAAACCTGTTTTTATACATATTTAGCTTTAACTTTAAGCTAGCCCCATAAATAAATAAATAAATAATATATTCGACTCAATTCTTGCTTCAAATAAGTATCAATAAATTGTGTATTCATTAAACGTACTTGGCGGAGATTGATTGTCGGTGAGTAGGCAAATCCGTTGTTACAAATGCTGTGCATAACAGGGCAGCCATGTGAATTGCATAGTTTGGCGGAAAATTTTAAACTTTATTTTGATGATTTTTATAAGTATATCGTGTGCGGTTTTATTATTTAAAAAATTATTTAAAGTTATGTATGTACCTAATTTTCTAAAAATGCCAACACGAAAAGAAAAACAAAATAGAACGAGCAAGCCCGACAGTAAAATAAACTGTACTCTCCACAAAAAAAGAAAAATAAAAAAAAACAAATATTTAAAAAAGTAGTTTTTTTATTAAATTAAATTAAATATAAAATATTCAACACATGAACACATACATAAGTGTACAATTTCAATAGAATAAATTTACTTCAGAATCGTGTCTCTGCGTGATTATATGCGTATATGTATGTATGCAGCACAAAGTTGTGTTTGTGGGATCTGTCACGCCTCCTTTTGCCTGTTACATACATTCGCACAAATCTTGTATACGCTTTCACCCTTTCGGTACAGGGTATAATAAATATGAAAATGCGGAACTGATTTAGTTTCGTGCACTGAAAACTCTGGCGAGACTGTTCCACTATGTCATCATCAGTCAGCTTTTGCTCACAGCTGGCTTGGAGGGGAAGTTCGAAAAAATGAAGTCATTCGAAGTTCTGTGTCATCTACGGATTTTTTAAGAAATTTCAAAAACTGAAATCCCTAGAGTTTTCTGTGGCACCCCTCATAAAAATCAATGTTTATGAACATCGATTTTTTCGATCATTTAAATTCAAAACATCGATACTTTAATGTATGGTATATGGTTTGGAATTTGCTTCCATCTCAATTTGTTTGTTTAGAAATACCAATTTATTTACTACGTGTTTGGGATCTTCTTCATAGTTTAAAAGGTCAGTTTTGCATAATGTGCTTTAGATGCATACGATGTTGCTGACTCCCCCATTTTCAAACTTTATTGTTTATGTACGTGTTTGCAGAACAGAGATAATACAAAGCCACAGCTGTGGAGGCAAAACAGAATTCATTTTTGGTTATAAGTTTCTTAAAAATGGACTAACTTTAATTAAACTTGACAAGTTAAGTACTACTTGGATGTGATTGTTCAATTCACTTATAGCATGGAAGTGGAGGTTGTCTTAGGAGAATCTTGTTACCAAGTTTGATTATCCAAGCTGTTATAGTTTCTAAGATCCTTGCATTAAAACTAATAGACGAACGAATTGACGTCGTTATATCAACTCTTGTCATCTTGATCAAGAATATATGTATGTGCACTATTTTTGGGTATCGATATTGGCAAATCAAACATTGCTGTTTTGAATATTTAAAAAAATCGATGCTGGCATCGATATTTTTTCCAGCTCTACTGAACATGTTTCAAATTCGGCTTCTAGCAGTGTCCTTTGAATTTAATAAAATTAAGAATTTAAGCAGAGTTTGCAGCGTTTTTCATGATTTAATTCCATCGACCGTGACCGAAATCAATTATTGTTTTCAATGGCTGATACTAAATTCGGTCGTTATGCTAGCTGTAGTTCTGTAAACATGTCATTACCTGTACAAGGTCTAACTAACTTAGAATGCAAGAATTTACAAGATTATCTACAATCACGCACGCCCGAAACACTTGAGAAACTGTACACTCATCCACCAATCTGCTTGGCTGTCTATCGAGAACTCCCCGAAATTGCCCGACAGTTTATAATTCGCATTTTATTTGTAGATCAACCAGTGCCAAAAGCTGTAGTGAGTTCCTGGGGAGCGCAACGCTGTGCTAAGTGAGTATTTATACACTAGAATTGTACTGTAATTTTCCACTGGGTCATTTGCAGGGATCAGACTGAGGCAGCTAGCTGCCTAACTAATCTAAATGTATGGCGTGTAACAGCCATACCAGGCGGTCTTGCAGCGTGGGAATTGTCTCCAACATTTAAAAAAAGCTTACGACAAGCATTATTGGGAGGCGGAAAGCCTTGGACAATGACTAATACAGTGGAAAAAGACTCTAAGCCGCGGGACATTTCGTTTTTGGATTCCTATGCTATGTCTCGCTGGCGTTGTGTGCTCCATTACATGGTGGGCACTGGCGCCCGTAGCAGCGGTACAACCGATGCAGAGGCTATCAGTCCTGATGCAGTACGCATATTGCTCCATGCGAATTTGATGAAAAGGGATGACCGCGACGGAATCACTATAACACGGCAGGGCTTTCAATTCTTGCTGCTAGACACACGAGCACAAGTCTGGCACTTTATGTTGCAATACCTCGATACTTGCGAGGAGCGTGGAATACCTCTTCCTGAATGCTTATCAATGCTTTTTCAGTTAAGTTTTTCAACACTCGGTCGAGATTACAGCTCAGAGGGTATGAGTTGTCAAATGCTTACATTTTTACAACATTTGCGGGAATTTGGCTTGGTCTTTCAGCGAAAACGCAAAGAAGGCCGATTTTATCCCACTCGCCTAGCCGTCAATGTAACCAATAAAGAAGAAGGGCAAGTAGTGCGCACGACATTAACAGAAGATGTGCACCTGCAGAATTCCGGTTATATTGTGGTAGAAACCAATTACCGTATTTATGCATATACGGATTCCCCGCTACAAGTAGCTGTCCTAGGATTGTTTACAGAGTTGCTGTATCGTTTTCCAAATTTGGTAGTCGGCGTACTCACGCGAGATTCGGTAAGGCAAGCGCTACGAGGGGGCATAACTGCTGAACAAATCGTAAGCTATTTGGAACAGTACGCGCATCCCAACATGAAATTAATGGAATCGGCCATTAGGTCCAAATCCTGTCTGCCACCTACTGTAGTTGATCAAATTAAACTATGGGAAATGGAGCGCAATCGATTTATCTACACTGAGGGTGTGGTGTATAATCAGTTCCTATCTCAAAACGATTATCTCACACTTCGCGATTATGCTTTGTCCATTAACGTACTGGTATGGCAGAATGAGCGTACTCGTACTATGGTTGTGCAAAAAAATGGCCATGATGATGTCAAGCGTTATTGGAAAAAATATTCAAAAATCGCAGGATAGCAAGATTACTTTAATCTAATATTGTATATTACACATAAAAATTTTCGTCTGCTTTACTGCCGTGTTACAATAGATTAAATAAAAAAAATACATATTTACTCATATTAACTCAATATTTTGCGTAATTAAATAATAAATGTGTCCATATGATAAATTATGGGAATGAATTAGTACAAAATTGGTCTCTGCGGCAAACAAATATTATAGTAGCTCTTTTTATCCCAAAAATCTACATTTTTCCAGCCGCACCAGCCCTTGCCTTGAATAATGGCCAAATCATCGGTGCCGACATAATGAGGATCGAGTATAAGAAACTTAACATCGCCCGTTTGAACACAAAAGTCCACGCCAATAATAGTGTGAGCCAAAACGCCACCCCCAATCATGACAGGTGTTCCTTGAGTTTGGAAGTGGGTGGCAAGTTCTGGTGCTATTGTACCTAGATCAGTACCAGAGGCAACGTGCACAATCTTTGACTCAACATTAAGAAGTCCTTGCAGGCACATACTAACCTCCGTTGACCCGATCCACTGGGTGGATCCAACGAACGAAAAAGCTTTGTCGTTTATTTTGTGCAAATATTGTTGTATCTCTAAGTGCGTTGGTACGGCTGTTATATTGGTGGTTGTATAGCCTTGTAGCATAAACCAAGAGCATATTGTCTGTATAGAACGGTATGCACAACCCCATCCCTTGTCTAGTACCTGTTGCTGAAGGTAGTGATAATAATAATAATTTCCATTGACTAGATATTTCTTGCCGTCAGCCACGCCACTAGGCCTCAAGCCTATGTGTGGGTTCATTAAAGGAGTCCAAATCGAAATATCATAATTAAACCGGCATTGGTTGGCTCGTCGAAAATATGGCCGGGTGACAGGTAAGGCAAGTTGTCGGTGCAGCTGTTTCCGTTTCTCTTGCATATGAGGTTCATCGTCACTACAATTATCCAAGTAGCAACATGTTAGAAAATGGCCAAACTCATGAGGATAAAAATGATAACTACGCGGCACAGGTAACCGATTAGTATCGTTTTCCAAAAGTGATTCGGTAAGACTTTGCTCGAATAATCGAAGCGCACGACAAATGCTTTCAATTAATATATCATAGAGGCGGCAAAATTTGGTTTTTTTACAAAGTATTGCCATAGTATCCACTTCCATCGGAACTACAACTTTACCTTGCTCTTCGTTCTTAATGCAAATGTTCAATGACGGATGAGGTGGCGCATCTCGAGCAACAGGATCACGAGTGCGACACCGGAAGACGTCAATGTTAATAACATCATAGCCACAGCCCAACGCAATCGATTGTTGAGAAACTCGAACCATTGAGTTACTATCCCGTTGTATGTCATTCGGAATTAGATTTGGTAAGGCCTGTAGAAGATGCTCTATTAGGGATTCGTTAGAAATGTTTTTGCTTTGTGGACCACTGCAATTTACATAAACCTTCGTATTTTGTATATTGAAAACGAGTCCACCATCGGCTACGTTTTTACGTAGTACGTGCATCTCTTGCATTAAATCTTCTTTCGTCCATGAAGTTTTAATATTTAACCCACATTTTAGCCGAGCAAAGCAAAAGTCATTGTAAAGTTGCGGTGCTTCCATAACTTCATAGGGAACTTCCTCCAGTTTACCGTGAACGAAAAATGAAGCGCGCAATCCGACTAGTGTGCCTAATTGACACTGCAGCACGATAGGATTGTCAGTTATGTCGACTGACGAGAGAACCTCACTAAGAAGACCATCAGCACAGTCTCCAAACTTAACCAACCCGCACAAATCAATTTCTGCGGGGAAATTATGTTCTATTTGCTCGTAGCTCCGTTTTCCTATAGTGGGTTCAATGTTGAAACTTAAGAGCAGCAAAGTTCCTTCACCGTAGACGATTCCATATAAACAGCCGCTACATTGCAGCTTAACACGTTCTAGACGCTGAAAATTAAGTACAATAAAAAACTTAAGTTTGAGACTGCTGCATACACACCTTGAGCAGAAATATAGACACTTTAAGTTTTGGTAGCATTTTCCGTATTGATAATGGCCAGCCTACGATGTGCTGGCAAATATAGAGCATGAGAAATATCGATGGCACTATCGACAGTTTTAAATTTTTAAAACTATCGATGGAATTATGACCACCATCGATAGTTCGCTCGTAGAACTGCACGTTAAAAGAAATAAAGGAAATTGGAAAGTGCAATTTTAATTTTTAAATATTTATTTAATTAACATTAATATAATATTTCTGGAAGTCAATTGGTGCTGTTGGCTGCGGCTGGGGTTGGAAAAAAAGTAAACAAATTTATAAAAAGTGAAAGTTAACATCTTTCAATGAGTAAGTCTTGTATTAGTAAAATGTGTGTTTTTCTTCTTTTTTTTTTAAAGAAACAACAGTCTCTGAACCCAAAATTGAAAGCGCCACAGCAAAGAGAGAAACATTGTGTACAAATTTCAGTGCAACCCATTAACATGTACAAAAATAAATCTTCTCAATAATTAATTATGGTTAAAGTTCTGATGCGTATGATCGCATTGGATGTGCAGCCTTTCAACATTGTAAAGGATCGTGACTTTAAATAAAATACATATATGTTTTCTTTAATTTTTTGTATGACATTCAAACTTAGATGGAACTATCGATAGTATCGATGGATTATACAAAACTATCAAAAACATTGGACTCTACTATCAATAGTTATCATGCTCTAAGATAGAGTTGGCCAATATTTACATGACTGTTACTTTGGCACGAGTATTTGTAACAATAAATACATAATCCTTTAAGTAGAATTGTTGAATGTGTTAGTGCCTGTAATGACGATCTTTGTGAGATACATAAATGGGCGAGGTTAAGTGGATTGGAAGTAAACCCGAACAAACGGCGTATGCAAACAAGATATACAATCTGACCCTCAACTCCTGGATAAAACTGAGAACTTTAATTTTCTTGCACAGAATTATAACACGCAGAGAACCGAGTTATTTATATGAAAAAATCACCCTTTCCACGTCGAGAAGAACAAATAATTTAGTCTGCATAAGCTATAAACTAGCCAGCTCGGTAAGGCACTTTTTTATATACGCTGTTCGGCTGTGGAACGATCTTCCACATAACCTGAAGACAATTACCAGCGAGACGCACTTTAGACTTAAAACTCAAGCACACTTGAAATAGTACTTCTAAATTCTCTTCAACACACACAACGAAACAACTTTAGAAATTATTAATTTAAGTAAACTATTAATATAAAATAAGAAATAATAATTAAAGCTAAGGAAAATTGTGAAACTCTTAAATGTAATTGTAATATTAAATGTCAATTTAAACTAAATTAATCCTGTAATTAAATTAACAATTAACTGAATGAAATGAATATGTAATGACTAGCGTAATAACTAAAAAGTAATCTCGTAAATAAATAAAAAAAATAAAATAAAATCCATTTTTCGATCCAGGGCTCCCAGCTCGATTCAGGCGATATGAAACGTTGGTAAAACTGCACTATGTGAATACGCAGAAAATGTGTATTTTCTAATTTCCCTTCCTCCGCCCTCTCCCACGCAAATCGTAATTTTCTCTAACTCCCGTAATTCTTGGAATTTCGAACTCAAATTTTGCACAAACCCTCAGTTACTGATTATGTGTCCGTATGATATAACGATTTAACAGGAATTTATAGCCATACATATAATTGCTGCCCAAGCGCTGCCCGCAGCTGTTATTGATGTTGGTGCTTTGGTTGACTGCAAACATGCTCACACAGACACGAATAGACGCACACAGATATGCATACACTTACATAGACGCAATTGATTTGTACACCCTTTACGTGAGTTCGAATACCGTGACAGGTAAAATCGATCAGCATTATTTTTTTAATTTCCATTATTATTGTAAACATATGTACAGAGTATTTCAAAGTCGGGACACCCGACTTTAGCTTCTCTACTTGTTCTATCTTACGCTTGTTCGTGCGAACATGTTCTACAATGGATGGCATTGCTTGCACGAATATTATTGGTAAACACGCGCCTAATAGGGACAAAATCTTTGCTCGAGTTAATTAAATGCCTCTACAATCAGCCATCATTGTGGAAAAGTGTATTTTTTCCCGCATCCATTGTTATGTCCGCCTTTGCCAGTGCATCCCCTGTCGCAATGCCGGCGATGTTTTGTTTTAGTTTTGTCTTTTACCCTTGTTTCACCCTATCCGTATTTGCTGCCATTACTGTTGCCACTATGAAGAACTATGTTGCCGTTTGATGTTGTTGTAGTCCCATTTCCGCTCCATCTCATCTCACTGATCCCCGCTATTGCTATCTGCAGCTTGTCCATTTCTTCTTCACATTGTGCTAGCCTGGATGGTTCCTTTAGAGTTCTCACGTTCCATTGTCCGATTCTTGTCCGTTTTGAAATGCCTATGGTCGTCATCGAAGTGGCGTCGTTTGGATTTATTTCCCTTGTATCAGTTTCGGTAATCAGTGAATTGTCAATCGAACTGGTGATTGCCCGCCTGGGGGGGGCGTCTTGGGGGGGTTACTGTTGGTGCTGTCCAGATAGCGTGGATGGGTGTGTTTGGTGGTTATTAAAATTACCACGACGTTGAAGGCATGTATTTCGGGGAGTTTGTCGAGAGGAGAAAGTTAGTTCGGGGGTCACGCTCTCGCCATGAGTGGGGCTTGAACCCACGACCTCTTGTTTGGTGTGAGCGTGCGCTATCCACTACGCCACCGAGGCCCCACGGCGAGTGGGTAATGGTTAAAATCGGATTTTTGGTCAAATAATCGGTCACAAGCGTCGATCGTCTGAGCAATTTTAGGTCGTCAGTCAATATGTGCGGAACAAACCGTGCACACATCTTTTGTAAGTCCAAATGTTCAGTCAAAATGCGATAAAACGATGTTTTGGAGATGTTCAATTCCATTTCCATCAATTTCAATGATGATTTCGGCTAATTTTTGATGAATTCACGCACAGTTTCGATGGAATTTGATCGTCATTTATGTCCTCACGAAAGCTTTGAAACGGTGAAACCACTCTTGCAGTCTGCTACGGGATAGGCAATCATCGCCATAAAATTGTTACTTTGGAACGCATCTTGTATAAATAGAAACACAAAGCGAATTACTAACTCTTATCTCCCGAAAACAACTCATTATCAAAATGAGGGAACCCGACCCCCTGATCCACTTCACAAGCTATTATCTTTCAAACTAGATAGAAACAAACTCCTACAAAATCCAACTAGTAGGAAACGGGGTCCTTGACTCCACAGAGCGTGATCTGCTAGTTTGGTGGCGCTGAGCCCTCTTGAGAGGCAGTCGGTCGGATTGTCGCCTGAGGCCACACGCCTCCATTACTGTGCCGTTGACAGGTCCTGTATGGAGGCCACCCTGTAGGCGACAAAAGTCCGGAACAACGACACCTTGGCATTTATCCAACCCAGGACGATGTCCGAGTCTGACCAGAAGCTTGCAGTGAGGTCTTGTAGCTGATTATCACGTTGAATCTTAGCTGCCAACTTTACACCGAGGACAGCGGCGCATAGCTCCAAACGTGGAATGGTTACCTTTGCAAGTGATGTGACACGAGGCTTGGATCACGGCAGCTGCACGCTGGGTGGCTTATGTCGATAAGTGGCGCGAATGTACGCCACCGCCACGTTTGCTTCCTCCAAGGCGTCTACAAAAATCTGAAGCTGCAGCTCTTTGTCATGTTGAGCTTGATAGATGCATCTTTGGAATGACACCTGGTTGAGGGCTGGTAGGTCCTCACGGAAATCCTTCCACCGGGAAGCTATAATCGGTGGCAGAGGTGTGTCCCAGCCCAGATTCTGTGCCCACAGTCCTTGCAGTTAAACTTTAGCTGCGGTGATGACGGGACCGTACAGAGCTAACGGGTCAAAAACTCTAGCGATTTCACTACACACGATTCTTTTGGAGATTGCTGCCGTGCCACTGGTGTGAGTGCGCCCCTGCAGCTTGTTGAGGGCGGGATTCCAGAACATTCCCAAAGTCTTGATGGTGACATCGTTCGTACTCCCGAGTTCCAAATCTTCCTTCCGGTCGGCGGCGGGAATTCCTTCTAACAATGCAGGGTGATTTGAGCACCAGCCTTCTTTCAATTGCGTAGAAGCGTCGCGTCGCCAATTCCCGTGATGACCCTGGCGCGCTAGGAGGGTGCGAAAGGGAAAGGCCACAATGAGCCGACCATTAGGGGCTTCTGTGACATGATCCGCAAAGAGCTGTTCGCACTACTTTTTGGCACTTTTTCTGGGTGTCTCGTCATCCGGTACCTTGTCCAGCTGCCAGAACTGTTCCATTAACGTGGCGAGGTGCTCAGTTTGTCCTCTCGTAATAGCTCCTACGGATGCGGTTTATGGCCTGGTTCGAGTGTAGAACATTCCTGATATTATCCACCCGAGCAATGCTGGCAGTGTATTCTGTAGCGTAGTTTGCCCGACGCCGAGGGACAACTGATGTGGATTCATCTATGGGTGATAGAATTCTGCTCCGATTAATAAGTCGATCTTGCTGAGCGGTAGAACTCTGGGTCAGCCAACTGGATCCCAGCTGGGATTGAAATCCTTGTCCATCGTCGTCGATGGCTGGTTGGGCACAATGGTGTCTAAAGCCAATGCCTCCATGTGTGTGTTAAAAACGCCGTCCATGGAAGATATCTCGAAATTGACAGGGTCACAGGGTGACAGGGTCACAGATACGGGCTGGTTACAGCTGCAAATTCCCATCAGCCGAGTGGCCGTCTTGTGCGCCTTGATATTGAGCTCGCCCAGGAGGCGTTCGGACACCAGGTTCACTTGAGAGCCGGAGTCCAGCAGAGCCTGCACCACCCTTTGCTGGCCGCTGGACGCGGACAGTTTGACCCAAGCAGTGGCAAGCAACACATCCGCTCGTCGGCGGTGTCCTCTGCTAGAATGTACGAACTGCGAGTACATACAGGAGTATACTATCCCAACGGAGGATGACGCGATCCAGTCCCACCTGCCGGAGAGCGCTAAGCGTCTTAATGGTGATGTCATGCAGTGACAGAATGGCCCTTGTGT